GTTATGATGAAGCATGTGTGGCCTGGAGGGATCTCAGGGAATTTGATGAGGATGATCGAAACACCAGCTCGTCCTGCCACAGCAGTCCCAGAGAATCACTGTCATGGTGTAGTCAAGCGCCTCTGGCATCCTGTTCCACTCTCCTGGACTTTGCCATGGAGATTAAGCAGGTATCTTCTTATCTCAAAAAGACCTTGTAATGCAAAAATGTAGTTTTTACTCAGCGAGCATATTGACATGCTCGCTGTGGCAGTGTTTTAGCCACCTGCTGCCACCAAAAGGCTGACGGGGTATGCTGTCTCCCAGCATGGGTGGTGTGGGCACCTAAGTTTGTCAATGTGATAACTCGAGAACGAGGAGACACAGGAGCTTCAAACTGATGCCAAAGTGTATCTACTAAAATGCTCAAACGAGTTTGAATCTCAGTGACTTTGACCTCAACGTCAGCGTAAACCGACGTAAAAACCTTGTGAATGTCACAACTTGTAAGTCATAGATGTGTCGATCTTGCGTCATGGGGCTAGAAGAGAAGTCGAGGATTGCCTAGATTTGCCAGATCTAGTGACAAACATCCCTGCAGTCTGTTTATCTGCATTTTATATGAAACTAGGGAAACAACATGGAATTGATTACATTTCATCACGACGCTGAGACATTTCACAGCAGAGTTGGAGTTTGGACATTTATTGTTGCCCGTGACAACAGTTCAAAGCATTGCTAAAGAACTGAGGATCCGTCCACTGGCGCTGTGGACGTCTGTAGCAGACTCCGTCAGTCCAGCAGATACAAAGAGTCAATGAGTTTCATTTAAAACCACAGGAGGAGGCTAATGAGAACACAGCAGTCATTATGGTCCATTTTGAGGAGACCACAGTTCAGTCTGGTCTGTAATGGTAGACCAACAAACAGCTTTTCTCCAGGCACCTCTACAAAACGAGTGCCTGCTTGGCAGACTTTTTATGACTCCACAGGTTAATTGTTTCTGGTTAAATTATGCTTGGATCTGTTGGTATCTGGGCTGACTTTATGTCTTCTAAATACCAGGTTTCTGCATCAGGCTGTTCTAGATCATGGACTTGATTTCAATGATGGATTCACATTTTTTTTACCCAAATCCAGCTACATGTTGGTGTAGGGTCTTAAACATGACCGTTGCTTCGTGTAATCCCTCCCATTCTTCTTTCATTTTCTAATTTCTTTAAGGTCTAATGGCCAACAAGTTCAGAAATGATGTGAAAATTGTACAGAATAAAGATAAAGAGTGTTCAGAAGATTAATTCGTCACCTTCTGAGATCTTTGACAGTGAATTCTGAATCGCAGCGACTAGCCTTCCTCTCTGTGGGCAGACAGAGAGTATATGGAGAAAAACACCCCTCTTCCCCCTGTTTCATCATCCGAGACTAATGGATGTACCAGCAGGACCTTGACTCTAAACTGCAAACAGGATTCTTTGGGTTAGTGTGCCGCCCAAGCCCCACCAGTCGGAGAAGCCATTTGCCCAAATATCTTGGCCTTTCTTACTGCCAGGGTTCAAGAACATTTTGTCACAGTTGATTTTAAGAGATTAGACAGCTTTGCTTCTTTTTCTCTGGTCTTGACTCAGCACCTCATAGAGTATGACCTCCTGCTGTGTTCCCAGATAATACTAATCCTCCGTTTAAGAAAGTTACAGCAGTTTCTGTCATAAAGCTGAAGTCTACATGGAAATACTGATGCCACATCTTAGTTATGTTGAATTATTGTCAGCTGCTAAAATTCTGTTGGACG